TGGTGTGAAGCTGGTGTATGGGCTCTGCACCCAGAGTGTAGGGGATGGGTTGGGGTTGTGGCCAGAGCATGCTGCATTACAGCTGTTCTGTGCTTCCCAGGCAGCCTGAGAAGCAGAGGGTAAGTTAGAGCAACCCTGAGGCTGCTCTAAGTCACACCCGGGGAAGGTCAGGGCCCTGAATGTCCCCGAAATAGAGGAAGCGCAAAGCCAGCATCTCTTCAACATGTGCCAGACATCCACACGTGCTGTTTTGCTACAGAGCACGTGCCAGCATTTCTGCCCATAGTTAATGTGTCTGTGTATTGGGAAATCACATGGCTGGTAAAAGTTTCCATTGACCCGAACTGAAATTGTTTCTGGTTTTCAGTTCATGAAAACGTTTGACTTTTCTCCCCAACTCAGGAAGGGGAAATTCTGTAAAACCTTGAACGTTTTTTCAGGATGTTGGGTAAAAACATTTCCTGCATCCCTCGTTAGGCTCCTTCACCCTCAATCTTAGTGGCTGCTTCGCTCTCCTGAGTGGAACGCCTTGGCGAGTGTGTGTGACAGGCTGGCTTTGGGCCCAGCCACAGAGAACGTGAGTTGTTCTAGCCCCACCTAGGGGCTCTCAGCTCCGATATTAGGGGTCTCGCTCTTCGCTCTGGAGGGCCCCAGTTGTAGCCCTGGTGTGGCAACCGACACTTGTGTGTACTGAGGATGGTATGTCAAGGGGGAATCCATGAAATGCACCCACCCCTCCCATTTTTCACCCCTTGCCCCAAGGAGGCGTATTTGAATGGGCTGCCCGTCCCTGGCAGAATGGGCCACCACATATGACAGTAACGGAAGTTAAAATGGTGGACGGGCCCATTCGGATGCACGGGTACAGTGGATCATTACGCCATCTTAGCTCCACCCTGTGCTCCCCAGCCACCCCATGCAAATGGCGGCCGTACATCCAGGAGGGGGGCTCTGTCTGGGGAGCAGGGACTCTGACAAAGGTTTCGGGGTCATGGGGGTGGACACGATGAACACAAGCTCCCAGTGGGATGCTGTGGCCAAAGGCGCTAATGCGACCATGGGACGTATAACCAGGGGAATCTCGAGTAGAAGAAGACGGGTTATTTTATCTCTAGATTTGGCCCTGGTGCGACCGCTGCTGGAATCCCATGTCCAGTTCTGGTGCCCACAATTCAGGAAGGATGTTGATAAATTGGAGAGGGGTCAGAGTTGAGCCACGAGAAGGATTAAAACCTGCTTTATAGTGATAGACTCAAAGAGCTCCATCTGTTTACAAGAGAAGGTTAAAGGGTGACTTGATCCTAGTCTACAAATACCTACATGGGGCACAAATATTTAACATTGGGCTCTTCAGATTAACACGATCCAATGGCCGGAAGTTGAAGCTGGACAAACTCAGACTGGGAATAAGGCATCAGCTGTTAACAGTGAGCGTTAGTCACCCTCGGAACGAGTTACCAAGGGGCGCGGTGGACTCTCCATCACTGACAGTTTGTAAATCACGATGGGATGATGATGTAAAAGCTCTGCTCCAGGGATTGTTTTGGGGCAGTTCTAAGACCCGTGTGATGGAGGAGGTCAGACTAGATGATCACAATGGTCCTTCTGGCCTTGGGATCTCTGTAAAACGACAACCCAGGCCCGAGACGTGTGGGTCTTAGTGCCCTCTCTGGCCGTGATTCCCACACAGAGACAGACACCCGGGATAGGTCCATCTCTCACCACTGTGCTACTTGCTTATTTTCAGCCAAGAAGACGCCCCCCTGCCCAAGCTGCCCGTCCCACGTCACTGCTGCGTGCCCGGGCGGCTGGGTGGGATACCAAGGGAAATGCTACTACTTCTCAGAGACTGAAGGGAACTGGAACAACAGCCAGAGCCACTGCTCTTCCCTCAACTCCTCCCTGGCTTCCATTGATTCCCTGCCGGCGCTGGTAAGGAAGAGACACAAACCTTCATAACCACAGCTAGGGACATGCCAGAGCCTGGGTCCCCTGAAGGCCTAAGGCAGCTCCTAGATTCAAGGAACTGGTTATGGAAATTCCGGGTCAGGATTTGACATTTTTAATAGAAAAAAATTGATTTTTTTCCCCCAAAATTTTCATTTTATTTTTAACTTCAAATGTGGTTTCATTTTGGGGTTTTTTTTAACTCCAAAATCTCGTTTTTCCAAATATTAGGATTCGTTTTTTCCTTTAAAAAAAGGGAGGAACGGTAAAAAGCGTGGGAAAGAGGTGTGTGAAACCTGCCTTTAAAAAAACAAAACAAAACAAAACAAAAAAACCCTATATCCCAATTTTTTTTCCAGCAGGAAAATGGTGCAAATGTTACTTTGAAAGAGAACAGAACATTTTCCAACCAACAGTACATACCGCACGTTTTATTTATTTGCTTATTTATTTAATTTATTTATAAACCATCAATAAAGACAAGTGCAAAGTACTTCACCTAGGAAGGAAAAATCAAATGCACAACTACCCAGTGGGGAGTAACAGGCTAGGCGGTCGTACTGCTGAAAAGGAGCTGGTGGTTCCAGTGGATCACAAATATGACTGTGTCGACAATGTGACGCTGCTGAGAAAAAGGCGAATCTCATCCTAGGGTGTATGAACAGGAGTGTTGTATGTAAGACACGGGAGGAGATTGTCCCGCTCTACTTGGCACTGGTGAGGTCTCGTACTGTGTCCAGTTCTTGGTGCCTCACTTTAGGAAAGACGTGGACAATTTGGAGAGAGTCCAGAGGAGAGCAACTAAAATGATCAAAGGTTGAGAGAACCTGATCTATGAGCAAAGGTTTAAAAAACTGGGCGTGTTTAGTCTTGAGAAAAGAAGGCTGAGCGGGGACCCAATAACAGTCTTCGACTATGTTCAGGGCTTTTATGAAGAGGACACTGATCAGTTGTTCTCCGTGTCCACTGAAGGCAGGACAAGAAGTAACTGGTTTAATTTGCAGCAAGGGAGATGTAGGTTCGATATTAGGAAAAACTTTCTAACTCTCACGTTAGTTAAGCTCTGGAACAGGCTTCCAAGGGGGGAATCCCCATCACTGGAGGTTTTAAAGACCAGGTTGGACAAACCCCTGTCAGGGATGATTTAGATTTATTTTGTCCTGCCTGAGCACAGGGGGCTGGACTTGATGATCTCTTGAGGTCCCTTCCAGCCCTATGTTCTATGATTCCCCAAAGTTGGGAAACTGTAAGAACATGGGAGGAAACCCCCCCAGTTATGAAATGGGAGGAGGGGGAAGTATTTGGGTTCTTAAATAAATTTTCCTGTGGAAAAAAATAATGTTGGATGAACCCCTTTGCCCTTTGCAGTTTGACTGGCAGCTCTTTGGGCGAGGGACCAGCTTTCTGTGTGTGCAGCACCTAGCGCGTGGGGGCCCTGATCCCCGTGACGGCGGCTGTAACACAGATAAGGATATAATGTGTGTGTTCTTATCCACAGGATTTCATGCTGCGCTATAAAGGGATCCCTTACCACTGGATTGGCCTCCATAGGGAACAAGGCGAGGGCCAGCCCTGGAAGTGGACCAACGGTACCATATTCAACAACCTGTGCGTCCCTTTTCCTCATTCACTTTCTCAGTAGTAGGGCACAGAGAAATGCAACAAAACCCTGGGCTGGGTGGAGAACGGGGATTGGAAGTGAGACCTCAGGATCTTAAAAGCCTGATCCTCTACTGCCTGAGCGACAGGGCTCTTTCTGGGGAGGTTGCACCTGGAGGAGACTTGTAGACTCTTCCATAGCGTAGGCACCAGAGGAGGACAGAGAGCCCCACTCGGGTAATGTGGATGACACAAGTGGGACTGGCTGGAAAAATTCCAATTCAAAGCTTTCCCTTATGGAAAATCTGATTGTGTTGAAAGCAAAATTTCCTGGAGGTAAAGGTCACTGGATGAGATTTTTCCATTGCAGAAATTGACTCAAATGTTTATTTTCAGTCAACCCCAAATGAAACATTTTCATTTTGGTTTGCCTGTGGGGTCATTGCAGCACATCATGGGAATTGTAGTTCTGGGTCCTTCCGGTCCCATTTGGTCCTGGTCTTTGATCAGACAACATCTCCCATGATGCACTGCAGTGTCTCACTCATGGGTGTTATGTGGCATTTTGGTGATCGGAAACACTGCAATGCATCATGGGAGAGGTACTCCAGTTGGGACTCAGGACCTATAGGAGAGAACAGGGGTGGAAGAACTAAGAACTACAATTCCCAAGATGCCTGGCATCAGCCCCACGGTCTATCTAATGAAAATGTTTCATTTGCGTTGACCTAAATCTCTTTTTTTTTTTTTTGGAGGGGAAGAGAATTTCTATCCTGTGGGAAATCTAAATATTTTGACTTTTTGTCCCAAAACATGAGAATTTCCTGTAGGATGGAAATTCCATTTGTCACCCACTTCTGTACACATGGTATCCCCTGAATCATTCATGAGCACATCCCATCGTTCGGGCACAATGACACCCCACCAAGGGGAATCGCTACAGCTAGGGGATCCGGCAGAAGATGTGGCAGATCCGTGGGGGAGCATCTCAGTAGCCGTGTTAGGTTTTTCCTAAGCACAGCTGAGCTCTGGCTGCCTGGGGCACAAGGGGAGGCAGAGGAAACGGATGGGAAGTGTGAGGGAGGGCTTAGGAGACCCAGGAGAAGAGGATAATGGGCTCTGGATGTCCCTAGCTCTGTTTGCCAGAAGCAGGGAGTGTCGGACAGGGGATGGATCAGGGGAGCGATGGTTGCCCTGTTCTGTTCATTCCCTCTGAAGCACCTGGCACCGGCCACTGTCAGCAGACAGGATACTGGGCTAGATGGACATTGGTCTGACCCAGCA